TGTGTTGGGCTCGCTATTAGTCGGCGTGTGCCGTCGTATGGAATCGAGACTGGATGACTGATCATCCCCATCACTCGGCTCACGCTTGATACAAACGCGTGGAGAAGGTGACGAAGACAGGTATTGACCCTGGGCAACGCGCGCCTCAATCTGACCAATACTCTCGGTAGTCCAGTTATTTTCCAGTTTGAGAAGGGCATATGTTAACCGTGTTCGGAGGGTGGTGGAGATCTGAACATCCATGGGAAGGAACGTGTAAGCACAAAGCACAACAAATCTACAAAACAACGGAGGAATTGAGCATTCTATAGAGGTCGAGCGTACCTGTGAAACATCCCTCGGGCTTGCATCGATTCCCGTGTGTATCCTCGCGAACCTTGGCGTCACCGGCGTAGCAGGCGAGCCGGGACCGGACGCGCCGAGCAACGTGCTCTTGACGGTCCCGGAAGCCGTGCGTTTCGATCCTGCTGTTGACGCAGCGACGGAAGGACTGGCAGGAAAGGGATTGCACTGAGGATTTGCGCCTGAAGGGGGAACCACGGGAGTAGTCGTTGCAGATATTAACGGAGGCGAACCATGGGAAGAAGAGGAGGGGGAATCCGGCGGTCGTTCGTCATCCTCTTCCGGCATTGAGAAGATGGTTGATGCCTGCGAGATATTACTGGTAGAGTGAGTAAGTAACGGGGGAGGGTTATGAGAGGTGCTACGAGGAGCCATCTGAGAAGAGGGTGTGGATAACCGTCTCTGAGGGGGCTCGTAATAGTCTGGTGGAGGGATTTGCGAAGAGGGCGGGAGAGAGGACGATGATGCAGCACTGCTCTGTGACATTATGGACAAGTGAACGAGTGGATGACGATATGCGTGTGTGTGTGTGGTGGTGGGGGGTCCAGAAGGAGGGGAAGGAACAGAAATGGTAGGGTAGGGTAGGGTGGGGTGGGGTGGAGGGGGGAGAGAGGAGGGAGGGGAAGAGGGAGGAGGGATGGGGAACCGTTAGGGTCGAAGACGGAACGAGGGACGGAGCGTGACGGACAGGGTTAAGCTCGGGGGTAACGGGTGAGGAAACGAAAAGAGGCGTTGTGGTTGTTGACGATGTGCCAGGAAGAGGAGGAAAGAGGGAGAGAGGGAGAAAGAGGCAGAGGGACGGGGAGAGAGAGGGCACGACCATGCAAGTAGGCAGACAAGACCACTCACTTTCCTGACTCTAGTCCAGTCAACTCCTACAAATCAGTCGACTAAAAAAAAAACTCTTCAGTCCAACCAGCATTCTCACTCACTCACTCACTCACTCACTCTCACCTCTCCTACTCGACCCGTCTTCCAAGTGGCTGACACGAACCAAAACAGAAAACCCACAATACCACACACACGCACACACAGGGCAGTTAAACGACAGTGCTTACGGTACTGTACGGGACAGATACAGCAAAAGTGATTTTTACAGCTGTCGTAAAAACGATGGAAAGAGCACAAAATATCCTTTTCCCATTTTGATCGCGATCGAACCAGGGCGGGATGGGGGGGAAGGGAGCATGGCACTTTTTGCTTTTATCGGCACGCGAAATAAAGTGACTTCTTCTGCCCCCGAACTCTTCATCATGAGTCCTGGTTGTGCTCCCTTGGCTTCCTTTCCACCTTCCCCTCCACCCACCACCACTCACGGCCGCCACAACCCCCCACCATGCGGTAGTGGATGGGGGAGAGCAGCAGGATATAGGAGAGCAGAGGAGGACACGGAAGAGCACCAATACCACAGCCCCCTGCCCCCACACACTTCAGCACCCCTCCTGCTAGCTAACTGCGAAAAACAATCATAACCATACTCCCTGCCCTTATAGCCCGAAAAAATAGGGTCACCAATCCCACCAATAAGCAAAACGCGGCGCAGGAAGATAGGAGGCAGAAGGGAAGGGGAAGACAGAGGCAAGACAATGATATGATATCCTCACACCCAGTCCCAATCCCGGCCCAGGATCTGCGAGAAATGTAGAGATAAAAGAGAAAAGCGCCACCCAAGGCGAAAAAAATAAAAAGATGGAGAGAGCCACTCTATTCCCCCAGCTTCCCTCCCGACCCCCTCCTATAATGCAAAGCCTCACATAGAACACCTTAAAGTTGATGGAAGGAGAAACAAAAAGGCGGGTAAAAACCGGCCAGGGTAAAGTACCGCACTCACTCACGTCTCCCACGAAATCACGAGACTTTGTGGCGTCGCCCAGCCTCCCCGCTTTCTTTCCAGCCCCTCTTTTCCTCCCCCCAACGGGCAACCCAACCACCCTCCCAACGCGATATACGCGTTTTACGCGTCTTGCTTCGCGTGTTTGGTGGATTCGAGGTGAGGGAGTCACGCTCCTGTTCCCTCGCGCCTTTTTCCCTTTTGTTTGAAGGGGCGTCGGTTGCGCGGGTCGGCACGTGATTCCATAGTAAATGCCGGTAAGTTAGGGGTGGATGGCGTAATTAGGCTACCCAGTACGAGTACCGGTAAGGGGAGGAAGGGAAAAACGGGGATCGACGGGGGCGTTTGTGCGTTGCATGTCTCACGAGGGAGGGGGGGGGAAGGAAAGTATTTCTGATATTGAAATTGAGATGAGATTGGGGGAGGGATAGTCGCGCTCGTGGATTTGTCTGCGGAACTTGAGCTGAAGTGTGTCCCCCTGAGGAATGATTCGTGACGCTGGTTATGCTTGTTTCCTTTCTATAGACAGGCAGGCAGTCTCCCGGGATGTTACCGTATGTCACTTGGTCAATTTTCTTCTGTCCTGAGAGATACCAAGGTGGGTGCCCCACCCTGCTACTAGTATACTCGAGTATATATCCCATACAAACTGCCCAAGACTCTAGCCACCCTGTTCAAAAACATGGCCCCAGGAATCATATCGCCCCCCGCAAGAAAAGCCCCTTGTCCAGAGGGATTCCTCAAAGCGCAAAAGTGGCCCCAAACTGCAATTCCTATCTGTATTCTACTCAGTCCAATCAAGATATCAGGGTACTTGCCTGTCGATATGCCCCCTCCCATCCGGCAGCATCAAACTCCGATTAGGGAAACCGCTTATTGGGGGGGTTTGGAAAAACACGTGGTACGCCCACCCGCCGAGCAGCTCTCGAACCATGGTACGAGCTGAAATCCTATTCCTGCTATACCTGGGATCGGATTCTGGGGCTCGATGAGCAGCCAGTGTTGCCTGTGAGTAGTCATGAGTTATCACTCGAGGGTGAGACTTTTGAGTCTTGGGGTGGGTGTTGTGGGAGATTCATCTTGTGAGATGCCGGGTGGAGGCTCCTCGGTGAAAGGGAGGCGCTAGATACATGATCGATATCAGCTGCACACGTCCTATGCATGGTCCGTGTACTTTAGTCGTCATCGACGTCTCTTACGTGCCAGGTATCATAGGAAATTTATTCCAGCAATATGGGGAGTTGAACTATGATAGTAAACCGACACCTTCAGCGAGGAGTTCGGGGCTTAGAATGGCCTTATCGTGGCTAACGGGGGTATGATACCAGTGTTGACTTGACAAACAACACCTCGTCTGCTGAGGGCGCAGCTTCACTCGTGGGGGGCTGGTCCATCTAGGGAAATCTCCCTTCCCCTCCCCCTTCCAGGATGGGGAAATTTTTTTATTACTAGGTCTTGTTGGGGGAGTGGGGCCCAAGATACAATACACGACGGTTCGATTGCTCGAGTTTCTGCGGTAATGTTACAAGGTTGATGGGACTTCTCAAGATTGAGTGAGTGCCGGTAGCGGACTGTAAAAATCTGCTATTCTACTTTTCGGGATCACACCACCTGCCCTCGTTCTCGCGTGAACTCTTTCAAGCCGTAGCTACCGGTACTGTACCTGAAGCACAATTTTAACACCTACGCAATACAACCCGTGCATTATAGCATTCTGCTGTATCAGCCCCCACACTTGACACACCATCATGCGACATACACAGTATTTACCTTCAAAAGCCAAGCTATTCCATGCAGCAACGGGGGGTGCTAGATTGCTCAGCCGCACCACACTTTACAAAGGGCGACTAGGAAGAAATATCGAGTCTTGGGCCGATACTCCAAGAGATTCTCCTATAGACATGCCCAGTTTGGGTACATCATCATCTACATCTACGGCTTTCACTCGTTAGCTAGGGTTTCTGTACTTGATTGGTGGGCGCGCTGGTAGTTTGCATCTAGAGCTCCCCAGGGCTTCTGAAGCTTCAACACTGCGGTAGACTATCAGGAGTGCCAGAGCAAACACTGCTTACTACCGGTGCTGGCCAGATTGGGCCACAGCTACTTCTAACATCGGACAAAGACGGTGCTTGTCGAGGAAGATCCGGTATTGTTATCACCGCTATGGTATACCGAGCAGATAGCGCTGGCAAACCACTCTGCACAGTTCCGGAGATGGATGATCAGCACAGCAATCACACATAACTAATTTCAGAAGAGAAAGAAACCCTAACTGATATCACTGTAGCCCGACCAGACCCCCTGACCCGTGGGAATTACTGTACGATACAGTACAGTACACCATCCAGGATCCGATACTTGTAACATTCCGACAAAATAACCGCAACACAATCAGATTCTAGTATACAAAACCCCACCTCCAAAATACCCCAGAGTAAAACTATACAAGGGGAAAAAAGTGGCCGTGAACCGCCTACCGTATTCCCCCCCAAAAAAAACCGCCAGCAACGTTTTTTTCCCTACACACCAAATACCGAGCCCTTCTACCGATACATACATAAGACGCATACGTACGTACTAGCATATATGCAATATATCGAGATCTACCCGCTCCGCATCGCATCCGCACAACTGTATTATTGGTTGGTTTGTTGTTGTTGTTGGGGGGGGGGGTTTAATTGCACTTTTGTCCGATATGCCGCCTTGTGAGACCCAGGCTGGGGTAGGGTAAGGTAGGGGAGGGTATTTTTTCCTTTTTTTCTTCTCCCGGCGTATCAGCCTGATGGGCGTTGCTGGATCTTCTTACAATATAATACAATAGCTCTCCCGTTGGACGATTTTGCGCTGGGTGTGATGACCTGGTAACGAGAATTGTTCTTGGAATGAGTGGGTGAGTGGGTGAGTGGGTGTGAAGCAAGGACTTTCCTTTCCGCCTCGGATGGGGTGGTTATATATGGGTGAGTTTAGATTCTTTTTTCTTTTCTTCTAGAGTGCATGACTTTGTTCCATGAGTAAGTGAGTGAGCTGGTGATTGCCAATCTGTCGGTCTGGTATATAATGTGTCGTGCCCGAGCCGTCCGTGACTGTAGAGAGAGAGCGGGGGGGGGGGTGCAAGTACTTTGTAAAATTGTATGATAGGTTCATGACCACTTGAGATGGTCCCTTCCCGAAAAAAAAAAAAAGACCCACTCCCCAATTTACTCGTCGTCAGCAGGGTAGACTATGGCCCCGGATGATGGGGACCTATGGTATCAGCAATCATTCCTTTTTTTTTCATACGGACTCCTTTCTTTCTTGGTATGGTATATAGGCTTTAACCTTTCCATGACTTTTTTCGTCTTGACCAAAGCTGATGAGTCATGCAGAGTGCTAGTTTATGCACAGTACAGTAGGTTACCATTAATCTTGAATACCGGCATTGAGCTAGGGATTGATTTTCGAAATCAATAGCAATTCCAATTTCACCGCCGGATTCAATGTGAGTTTCCACAGTATGGAAGGGGAAGTGCTGTCCAGTTCTGCCGAGTTTTGCATAGATGGTGGTAACTGGTGAATGTTATTCATCAATATCTCTTTTGATTGTTTTGGAGTTGTTTTGAATAGCTTGGGTATTATATTATCCTGCTCCATGAGTTCTCTCTCTGATACGGTAAGGTACTGTACATTCAATTTTCAAATGAAGTTGAAGTACAAATACCATTGGATTCGTAGAGTATCATTCAGCCTTGTGTGAGAAAACATGAGAAAATTATAGAAAGGAGGAAGAAAAAAAAAGCAAACTTTTTGTCCCAATTGTTTTTACATCGCCTCAGGCTGTCCAGTTTTTTCGTGTGGGAGATTCGGGGCGGAAAGAGCAACGCCAAACGGGGTGAAAAAAATGCAACTTCACAATATACCACCACCGCTCTCAATCTCACAAAAGCACTACACCCACCATTACCACTCCGATAATCCCCCACCACCACCCGCCAACTCCAAGTCTCCTACTTCCAAGAGAGCACGTATACCCCTGCGTCTTCCAATAGTCGCACCCAAATTTCTGTCCCCTCATGTCCAGAACAATAGTCTGCGTAGCCGTCGCTCCGGCCTGGATAACGCTCTGGACCGTGGTTACAACCACGGCTGTCCCTCCCACTCCCGTCCCTCCAGCACCCCCATCAACGGTAACAGTGCTAACGACGTAAACCGTTGTCGCGCTCATCGCGACAAACACGCTCGTCTTGACAGCGGCGTCGCTACAACCGACGCCGACTCCGGAGTTGCCGGTGCCGCAGTTGTTTATGCCGGAGTTTGAGGTTCCAGAGTTGCCGAGCCCCGAGTTGTTGCAGCCCGAATTGTTTGTGTCGGAGTTTGGAGCGCAGGTTTGCTGTGGGGCTCGGGGGTGGATCGCAGCGGCGGGGGAGGGAGCGGAGGGGGAGATGTTTTCGGGGTGTGGGAGGGGGGTGAATTGCGGATTCGGGGGGTCATGGAGGTCTGTTGGCGTTAGTGATGGCGTTTGGGGGTTGTTTGTCTCGAGGAGCGTAAGTGTCGATGATGGATTCGAAGAAGCAATCGGAGGAGGAGGATTCTTAGGCGCCGGAGATGCAAAAACGCCCATTCCTGGTCCTATCACTACCGCCGCAATAAAACCCGTGGAAAACTTCATCTCGTTGCGTTATCGTTACCGTTATCGTTCTCGTTGCTGATGATGACGCTTCCGACTCCCAACTGTTTTTCTTTCACTCTACGTCTCCTTGAAGTACTTCCAAATCCTTAAACCCCCGGTCAGAACCCTCACAAGCAGTAGCAGTCCCAACAAATAAATGTAAAGCAAGAACCTCGGTGGCTGGTCTCCCGTTGGGATGATTCTGCTCCCTACCGACTTCTGCCTAAGAGGCATGGCAGACAGATAGGCCGGGTAGACGTGGTCTTGTACTAGGTGAGTGAGTGAGAAGTGCAGCACGGACAGAGTGGACCAAACGGGGCAAAACAGGACAAGAGGTGCTGTGTACGAGTGCGATGACGATATGTGGCCCGTGGCTCAGGGATTATGCTTGCACGGTTTTGCTGGTACAGTACTCGTATTGGCGGAACCACGGTCGGGAACCCCCCTTCTTCCTGAAAGGGCGGCGATCTGTAACACCAATTATTCGAGTAAATTCTCCGCGGATCCTCGGGCTCAGAAAACCTTTATCGGCGGGGTCACCATCAGAGGACTTGCACCATATGAAATATCTCTTCAACCCAGTACCAATTCCTCTAGCCTTCGAGCTAAAATTCCCTGAAATTCGGTACACGAACGAAGGGATATCCGTGGTTTGGACAGAGCACGGGCCAACCGTGGGCCATTGTTCACGCCGTTGGTTGACTTTGACTTTACCCCCTTGGGTTGTCCCAATGGAGAAGCCCGCGAGGAGGGTTTTCCGAGCCTTGATCTTATTGAATGTCAAGACGTTGGGATCTGAGCAAGAGATAGAGACTTCTTGGAATACCATTTTTACACTCGGGGAGAAGGATTGCATGTTTTTGCGACTAGTTGGTGGATATAATAGCCTATCGGTATTTCGGCGCGGATACTCTAGGTATTGTTCTTTGGTTAATTGGCCAATGCAGCTATCATACTAGTCTACCGCGCTGTACTAGTACAGTACAGTACTGCACTGTACGGTTACTCGGGTTGTGCTCGGGCACATCCATAGGGTCTCGCAACTGCAGGAGGGTTTCCCAAGCTACTTTAGGTGAAATGTAAGACCAACTGTCCTTGATGGGCTACCGTTGTATGCACTTTTTTCTCGGAGTGCCAGTATGATAATATGATACCGGTTGTCCTATTGGTGGTTGACGAGAAATTTGTCAAGTTCTGGTGCAAAGGGGTTGTACTGTACAGTACAGTACAGTACCCCTTCACCGACAGCAGGCTTATTGGCTAGACTACAAGGCTACTGACCCCAGAACGCAGCCTGTCCTCCTCATTACAAGAGGCTGGCTTCCAAGGCCATACTGTAGCGCCGTGCAAGATTACGGTAATTTATGGTACCGGTATGGAATTGCACGTCCGTGCTTGGGATGCTTAAGGCCTGGATTCGCCAAGGAATAGGATTGGTACGATAATACTTCTACAATCTCCTGGACAAAATTCATGAGTGTAGTATTAAATTTTAAAAGATGAGTTAGGAGTGAACTATCTATCTACTGTGGCAAGTACGCGAAGAGACCTTCCCTAACATGTCAACCTCTCTCGGGTGCCTTGGAAGAAATTTGTTTGTTTGGCTTTTTTTGTTGCAAGTGTTAGAAAGAGAGATGGGAATTGCTTAGAACCACAGTAATGTGTTTCTTAGCACACTGCCTGGCATCCACGGATATATTATGATAACAGCTTGGTTTTATGCATTTGTACAGTACCCTGGTTTACATTGTTTAGATACCAGGTTCCCCCCCCTTTCTCCATCAACCCGGATATCTACTCACGATGCTGATAATAAGGGGAATTGTTCTCATCCTCCCCTTCTCTTGCCCTATTCTATGAGAAAATTCATGTCATAGTCAGGTAACGGGGATACCCTTCCACTAATTCTGTGTGAATGAAAAAAAAAAAAAAAAAAAAATGACACAAAGCCTAAAGATTGAGAATTAAAGAAAACAGCGGTCCACGAGATATTGTGAAATATTTCGCGACAACACAATTTTCCATACTCCTCAATATTTGGGCCTCTAGTTGCGTTTTTCCTTTGCACAGAATTAGAGGAAGGAGTACAGTACTTGATGTGTAATTTCTTTGAAGCTAGCCTCCTTTCCGTATGTGGGGGTATGGTGTTTTGGGGATATTGCGGTGTTTCTGGATTTGCCTGCCGAGTAGGGCCTTTTCATAGATGCACGGTACGGCAGTCTAACAAGTCTTTGCCACACTTTTACCCAGCGTCGTATGTAGCACAAGTACGGGCAGCGAGTTACTAGTCATGGCAACTGGGGCAAGGCGTCCAGGATTGATTTCTTGTCGAGACACAAGCCCGCTATTGGAAACTGAATTTCTCCATCAGCATCCCTCTGGCTCTGCTCAGCGTTGTTTTGCTTTCAAGGGGAGGGTATTTTCACAGGTGCCATCAACCTGCATTCGGAAAAGCATGAACAACAGTTGCGACCGAAACCTATTCAGCAATAACATCAGCAGCTTAATATCACAAACTCGAATAAGACTGCAAAGTAGACCATTTCGAGAATGGCGGGAAGAGAGAAATGACGGATCGGTTGGAGCGATTCTGTTTTGCCATGGGGCCCCAGGGGCAGGAAAGACTTTTATTTGGTAGGATTTGCAAGCCCGTATGATATAACGCTTGAATCGCTACTCACCCGAGAATAGCTCCTTAGTTATAGATACGCTATGCGATGAGGCTGCGGGACCTAATGTGGCAGTTGGTTGCCTGTACTCGTACTGCGATTACCGTGGCCAGAAAGAGTAAAAGACAGAAGTTATGATTGGGAGCTTCCTGAGGCAGTTTGTGATAGGATTGCCGGAAATTCCGGAAGCGATCGTACGAGCCTTCCGAACCCCGGGGCCTCATCCTGGGGGGGCGGAAATATAGGGCTTGCAAAGATGAACTATTCCCGGCAGTGTTGGGTTGCTTCCAGCAAGTATTTATCTGTGTTGATGCAGGATGAGTTTACAGCGGAGTACTGTACAGAGCTGGGTTTCTGCGATCTTTGCGCCAGATCTTGGATGGGATACTAGATTGTTTCTTACCGCGAGGCCCTATATCCAATCATACCTGGAAAGCAATATCCCGCTACATGTGAGCGCCATCACTACACAACCTCGCTTCAGTGACATGGAAAGGTACTTGGAGACAAAGCTGGGCACCGATCCATACCGTAGAGCGATGGACGGTGCCCTCAGGTCAGGAATCATGACAAAAATTTCCAGGGGGTTTCCAGAAATGTAATCATTGCTCGGCATAATTGCGAAAAACCTTTAGCTGACGATAGGGTTTAATATTGGGAGGGATCGCCATAGGTGGAAGAAAGAAGCTCCGTGAGATGACGAATGACTTGGGCGACGCCTGCACAACTTCTCTAGAGAGAATAAAAGGGCAGCGTAGATCCCTTGCTCATCGATGGGCTATGCCATGATCTGGCAATGGAAATTGGATCTCCGAATATTGATACTGAAATGGTTCCTCCAATAGAGACTTGTTGTAGCATCCTGTATGGGACCAGTCACCACTGAGCATGCGTCATCAACGGTCCGCCTGGTACAGTACTGTACATGCTACTTTACAGGAATATCTGCGCAGCCATCAGGACATTGTCTTCCAGAGTCTCCATGCCATTATCGCAGAGGTTTTCTTGAGCTATCTGGGAACTCAATCATTTTGGGAACTACCGTGTGATCTCAAAACTGCGCCACGTGCCTTTTCACTTCTTGCCTATGATTCTTGTCACTGGGGAGCTCATACCCGGGAAGAACCTATAGTGTCTATGAGGGATCGCGCAGCTGGGATTCTGGACCAATATCCCCAACACGCAGCTGCGAATATCTTTTTGTCCAACGGAGGAGCCCCATTCCACGTAAAGTACCGTGGTGTGGGGTTTAGTGGACTGCACTACGTTGCATACTTTGGAGTCTGAACTTTTGGAGGCATTGTTGACAATGGAATAGGTGAATCCGGACCGAACCGATGGGTGGGGCCGTACACCTTTGAATTTGGCTGCTGAGGGGGGGAATGAAAGATCTGTAAGGACCCTACTGGGCCGAACCGATATTAATCCCGGCTCTCCGGTGTGGATTGGCCAAACACCACTCTTCCAAGCTTCTGCGAATGGTGGTGAAGGAGCGGTGGGAATCCTCCTGGGTCGCGCCGACGTTAACCCCACTTTGCGGATCGGGATCACCGAGCACCGCTCCTTGCAGCTGCTGAAAACGGCCATGAAGGAGCGGTGAGGATCCTGCTAAGCCGCACCGGTGTTAACCCTAACTCTGCAACTTGGGATCTTGACCAAACACCACTCCTCCTAGCTTGTGTAAATGGTCATGAAGGAGTCGTAAGTATCCTGCTAGACCGCACCGAGGTTGAACCCAACTTAGCGAATCGGTATGGCCAGACACCGCTCGGTATAAATTTAACATGGGGAAGGGGAAGGAGTTGCCAGCAAAAGAGGACAGAGCGAATAATATCTGGCGGAAAACATCAATTTGACACCAGAGTGCTACTCGCTCGCTACCCAGCCGCTGGCCATCACTTCTGGATCGAACGTTGGGTCTTCCGTATATAAACAGCCCAAGCAGCGAAATGGGCTCAGTTCACTAAGTATCATACAGTAGGCTAGAATCTTGATAAGCGGACCAGCTCGTGTCAACAAGGCTGGCCGCGCGTCAACTACCGAAACAGGGAAACATGGCTGCAGAGTGCGCTCGTATGGGGAATACCCGATTTGGGGTGACGTGGGCTTCGCCTGGCTTGGGAAATTTACTCGTAGAAAAAAGGTCTTCCTTGAAATGTCTCACATCTGTTTATAGCAGCTTTATCGATTGGTTTGTGGCTCATGTGTTCTCACTCGGGTACCTTTTCCAAATAGACATCTGGTGATTAAAAGTCAAGCATTATTATTATTAGTCTGGCCTTCCGACATTTTCTGAATATCATAGCATTAAAATAAAAAAAATAAAAATCTCGAAATAAGAAATAGAGGATTGAAGTATCATAAGTAAATATGATACTTATCTAGCAGAATGGAAAACTTCAATTATGACTAATATCATAACTATCAACTGATTTTACATAATTGTTAAAAACTGGGCCGATATCAAAGACACTCATACAGTTTGTGAAAACCTAGGGGGATATACCCAAACAATATTTTCTGAAGTTACCGATTGACCGCCTGCAGGCCAGAAGCTAGTGAATGATCATTTCAACATTTACGAAAGGGGACTTACAATTAGGGAGTGAGCTCTTAAAATTGCGAGATGACCGTTAAATGTTATTCGAAGAAAACCTGTTAGAATTGATATAAATTGTGAGAAAATATATTATGACGGTATCATATATATATTGGTACAGTACATGAAGGGTATCCCATAGGAGTACGATGAAATGAAATGATAAAAATGGCATCATGCATGGAAGAACCGTACTAACATGCATTTATCATACGAAATAAGAATAGAAGAGATTAAGGACAAAATTAATGGAGTTAAGAGGACTAAAGGAAGCAAAGAATGAGGGTTATGATATAGTGGAGGGGGGGGGGGGGTTCCCGTATTTAGTATGATAATAATATTAGTGAGCACAAACGCGATTGCAAAACAAGCAGAAACAGCAGCAAGCAAGAAAAGGAGGGGGCTCTCAATGCGGATGGCCGAGGGACTATTGCCATTCTTTGGTGAACATGATGAGTGAGGTTCCACTAGATTTGGGCAGGGGGTGCTATACCGCTATGATAGAACGGTGTCACGGTAAATTGAATTGAATTGAATTGAATTGAAGTATCAAGAGAGGATTTCTCCTCTTCCTCAGGCTTGATTCTTCAGGAGAGATATACCCCCAATCCCATTTCTGGTGATGAGACAGTAGGTCCTTACAGCGATTCACAATGATGCAAGTCATAACCATCATGAACACGCTCCTAAAACTCTCGCTCATAAGTGACGCCCGCATTCCCCGACTGCGAAACCGGTTTCACCGGCTGATTGGGCAAGCTACAATCGATCCCGAGGGTTAAGCATACTTTGTGGTCCTGCGATCGCCAGAGCGGCGCCTTCTCCACCGAGCCGTTCCCGGGTCACGCCTGGTACCGCCAGATTTACTCCTAGGGATCCGGCGGAGCAGCGGGGGTGGGGAGGTTTATTAAGTTATGGAAGGCTCGTGATGCTTGACATTTGCTAGATCAGGCCTAGCCCAGGCCTTTCCTTTCCGCAGAACTAGGGGATGACCGGAGGAGATGGTGGAGCTATTCGTTAATGAGTCTTTTTTTTTCCACTACCGGTATTATGATCATTTCGGTTATTTCTGTGCTCCCTTCCTTATTTCAATTTTTTTCATTTGGCTAGTTATGGTGATAGAGAAAGGCCTCTTGGCCAGACAGTAGTGTCACTGTTTGTGTGTCTAGTTTTGGATATTAATCTTTGTCTCCTGGGTTTATATCTTTAATACCACATCCTGAGGCTAATAGACGTGGTTTTCTATCATAATAGTGAATTTTGCAAGCTTAAAGGTGGCATAATCAGGAGGAAGGGGAGGAGGGAAGGGGTCTCGAGAAGCAGCTAGGGAAATGCGGGAAACAGGATGGATGTAGTGTTGTTCACGAGCCGGCTCGAGTGTATTTTTGAAATCGGCTAGTAGAGTCGCCACGATACCTCTACACACTACCCTTATAATTCAGAACCATCTTCACCACGGGTTTCCTCTACCTCTTCCCACATTTCCACCTCCACCAAGAGACTCGAGCAGGATCGAGCCTAATGACCACCTAGGCTCGTGCACAACACTAGATGGATGTATCATAGTTGAGGAAATACTACCCTATGGGATTTCTGCCAGCAGTTTCCAAGCAGCGAATATGATGCGATGTAGACATCCTGGAACTAACGCTGGTACCGGTATTGGGCCTGTGGGATGGGGTGGTAAAGCTCTCACGGCTCAAGCCGACAAGCCACCTTACATACAACCCAGGCCTAAGAAAATCCAGGGAATCCGAGTGATGCGCAAAGATCCGAGAAGTACCATAAGATGGCAGCAGATGGTTCATCGGGGGTATAAAACTCACCCAACGTGCTCAAAAAGGCTACCGTTAATACCACCAAGTATATTTCACGCTCTCGTTGGCTCTAGTACCACATTTTCATTTCCCCTCAATAGCTGGTCGATTGATGGCACAATCGCTGTCCAAAGGGTATTAGAGACAGGCTAGGAAAAAAAAAAAATTTGAACGCAGCGAAAATAGTATGAGACCCCATAATTGGGGGTCTTCCGTCCCTTTATTTGACAACGACGGTTACTAGAATATGAAAGACCTAGCTTATTGTAACACTAAATGAACAAGAACCAATTGGAAAACAAACATAAGAAAACCCAGTTAAAGAAATACCAACCCTCGTATCGCCGTTGAGAATTTCCCCTTTTCCCTTTTTTTTAATTTGCTTAGAGTTTGTCATAGTAGTTCTCAATGCCGGGAACCTATTCATGAAAGAGTCAGCTCGTATTTCTAACCCGAAAGTTATATGGGTGGCTATTCTTACCTCAGCTTTGATACCCTTGCGTTTGCGCATCTCCTGGACAATCTGACCCGGTTTAGTGGTGACGTCAAGAGGCGAACCACCAGGAAGGACGGCCCAATGGTCAAACACAGACTGGGGGAAAGCTTGCCCGCCAGTGTGCGAACGAAGGTCGGCGGTGAAACCGAAGGACTCGTTGACAGGTAAGTAAGCCTTGACGTTGAACAGAGGGGTACCAGGACGCTGCTCCTCAGAGAAAACGTGACCTCTTCTTCGGGTCAGGACACCATAGATACCACCCATCGCTTGCTCAGGAACCTGGATCTCGACAAGGTAGATGGGTTCCAACAGGCCAGGCTGAGCGAGCAGCGTAGCAGCATACAGGACACGACGAGCAGTCGGGATGATCTGCCCACCGCCACGATGGATAGCATCAGCGTGCAGAGTAACGTCGAGCACGTTAAAACGGACACTTCTCATAGGCTCCTCGGCGATAGGGCCTTCACGGGTAGCCCACTGGAACCCAGAAACGACGGAATCCTTGATTTCGTTGAGGTATTGTACGGCCTTAGTCATGTCAACGAGCAAGTTGGCGCCACTGGTGTCAGGACCGAAACACCAAATCTTACGGGCATCAGTAACATCCCATCCGTGTTCGTCAGCAAGGATTCTTGCACGGGCCTTGAAGTCATCACGGGGACCAATCTTCCCGGCTTCGATATCCTTAGCAACCTCCTCGTCAAGCGGGGTAGCAGCGACGTAGAGACGGTTGTGCTTGTTGGGTGACTTTGACAAGGCGGTCATGCTCGAATTGCCGGCAACAGTCTCACGATACGAGACGACAGGAGGAGAAATCTTCAACGGGATACCCGCATGATCTTCCTCAAGATCCTTCAAGCAAATCTCCAAATGTAATTCACCGGCACCGGCAACGATGTGCTCACCAGACTCCGAGATGTAAGTCAAGACACAAGGGTCGGACTTGGAGAGGCGCTTAAGACCTTCAACCAACTTGGGCAAGTCGTTGGCGTTCTTGACCTCGACGGCAACCTGGACGACGGGGGATACAGAGAACTTCATGACCTTCAAATTGTGGGCAGTCTCGGAAGTGGTGAGAGTACCAGACTTAAGCAAGAACTGGTCAACACCAACCAGACCGACAATGTTACCGGCTGGGACGTCCTCAATAGGCTCGATATAACGACCCATCATGAGAATTGTGCGCTGAATAGCCTTGATGAACAGGTCCTCCTTGCGGCCGGGAGTGTAGTTAGGGCCTTGAATGCGGACCTTAAGACCGGACTTGACGGTACCAGCGAAGACACGACCGAAGGCGTAGAAACGGCCCTTATCGGACGTCGGTACCATCTTGGAGACGTACAGCATGAGAGGAGCCTTGGGGTCACAATCCCGGATACCAATACAGGCCTCATCGTCAGAAGGGCCTTCATACAGAGTCTCGGCACGGTACTTCTGGGCGGTGACGGGAGAGGGCAAGTGCATGACAATCATCTCCATGAGAGCGTCAGCGGCAGGCAAGAATTTTCGCATAACAACTTTAAGGAGAGCCTTTCCTTCGAGATCCTTCTCATCGGACTTGAGGGTGATCTCGAGCTTCTCAAGTAGGACTGGGATCTCGTCCTTCTTGAAGTTCATGACAGCAGAGAAAATTCTGAAAATGGGGTCAAGGATAAACTGGTTGAAGGCACGTTCTAAAGGCTTGCCATCGTGGACTTCGGTCTTGGTCCATTTCTTGGTCTTTGGGTTGAAGAAGTTGTCACCCTGGAAGCCAAATTAGCGCCATGAAACAGTTCTAATGGGACCATAATTGAGCATACCCATAGACGCTCCATCATCTTGTTCTTGTCAACGCCAAATTTCTTGGCATAGCGTCCGGCGAACTGGCGGACAGTGAAAGCCCAGCCGTGAAGACCTGAACCGAAAGCAACGGTTCCCTTGTAAGGGTAAACCTGAACATCACCAAGAGCCTTGTCGAAGTAGGTGGCGACAATGACGTTTACGGACTCTACTGTTCGGGAGAAAGACTGGTACAAGTCCTCCTTTGATACCTGCAGCTCCAAAAGAGCACGGTCGACCTTGTTGATGATACAGACAGGCTTAATACGCTCGGAAAGAGCTTGACGCAGCACAGTCTCTGTCTGGACACAGACACCTTCAACACAATCGACGACAACGAGAGCACCATCAGTGACACGGAGCGCGGCCGTAACTTCAGAGGAGAAATCGACGTGGCCGGGGGAATCGATCAAGTTAATCAAAAAGTGGTTTCCTTCAGTTTTCTGGGTAATGTCCTTGCAGTCCTCCTCCGAGAGTTCGGCGTATAGAGAGATGGCGGTAGACTTGATGGTAATACAACGGTCCTGCTCGTCCTGGCGAGTGTCCGTAAACCGCTGCTCACCTGCTTTCGCGGCAGAGATAATTCCCGCCCGCTGGACGAGAGAATCGGTCAAGGTGGATTTTCCGTGGTCCACTACATTGCCATTAAATTCTATACACTTTTTTCTTTAAATTTAGGGGGAAATTTCGTACCGTGGGCAATAACGGACATGTTGCGGACGTTCGTAACATGGTCCATCAACTCACGGATCTAGTCAATGGAAGTTAGCATCCTGTGCATTGAACCTGGATATCATTGAATTGGATTAGGATGAGTTGGGATACCTGTTCGACGGTAAAGCTGAGAGAAACATAGAATGTTAGCCAACAATAATCTCAAAGGGAAGGCATTCAATAAGCTTACTTGACCATTTTGTCTGATTTTTTGTCTCGAAGGGCAAGTAAAAAGCTTTTGTGTGAGGTTTTTTTTTAAAAAAAGAGCTCCTCTCTCGCAAGGGAAGACTTAGGAAGAGCAAGTCGTCCGGTCGAGTGGATGGTCGATGGAGAGGAGGATAAAGACCAGGGGGCGGGAAGAGATGGAGGATGGGGGGGTAAAAAAGGTGAGGGGCTATGGACGGTTTGTGCGGTGAGGGGTTGGACTTGTTTTAAATGAATGTGGAAGCGGTTGTGATTGGCTACACTGCTAAAAAAATATATAGGGAGTCTTGGCATACTGACAAATTCACTTTTCCCGACCTTCCTCATCCCAGTCGAGTGTCCTCGCACGAAGAGTGACTGCTATTTTGGAGCCCCTCTACTCAAGTACGGTACCCCACTGTATCATACGAGTCGATATTATACTCGACCTAAATGATAAAATTGGCTCCTATCATTCCACCCGAATCGAGCTCGCTTCAGGCTAGCCGGTCAGACGAGAGTGAAGATGTTTGGGAAGAAAGAACTTGTGCGGCACTTCTTCCATGATGGTATCGAATACGGGAGCAACATGCCGGAAGTGCGAAATCCTACTGTAGTGAAAAGTGTACCAAATACGGTACTGTAGAGTATTCAGGGGGCCATTGATATCTTCGGTCTTGAGTTTTCATTATCATAATAATACTGGTATGTATGATATTGCTGCACCATACTCACCACCTCGTATCATAGGAGTCGACAGGAGGCCAAAGCAATTGAGCTCCTCTATCAAGCCAGCGCAGCCAATGGATCTATTAGTCACGTGTCTTTTCTTGGCACACTCCGCCCGAAGGTTCACCAACATTTACTCATCAGCCCCACCTGACTAATTTATCTGTAGGCCGCACTTGTGTTGGACTATGACTCCTCAAGTGAAATCAAGTATGGTAAGGTGAGTGAATATCGCGGTAACCTTTGTGCGGCTAATTCAATTCATCCTAGAGTGACAGTGCCGGGAGCCTGTATTAATAGTTGCTCGTCTCTGCCGCCCATTCGACAGTCAGATAATACCCACTCACAGCATGTAGGTAGTTGGTGGTGATAGGTTGGAACTATGCTACGCGGGTGTCCGAGTACTGTACCACAGGCATGGCGATGGATGAGGTTAAGCCAAGGAGGGGACTCGATGATTAAACAATAAAGCAAGCAGAGGCCCATGGCTCCTACCTAAATAATTCCCTTTGCTCTCCGTATCGTAAAACTTCTCTATAACTCAGGACTACTAGTGCGAAAACATTTGAGATTCAAAATAAATGATGGAGACCACTGATTGCATACGGCTGTGGTGTAGGGGTAGGATATGCCAATATAACGATCGTGAATTATATAATCAACGTGTGAGTCATCTCTAGTGTTTCATTCTTTCTTAATATGCAACATAAAAATCGGTGAAGTACAATTTAGTACTGTACCGCTGATTATTCTACAATATGGGGACCAAGACAATCCTCAACTCTACCCACGTCAATAGCTCAAGCCTGGCAATTCTGTATCATAACAGGTTCTCATACGCCTGATTCTCACGTATTATCACTCGTGGCACCATGCCCCGTTAGAAATCACTAGCGGGCAGTGGATGACCCTGAGAAATGCTGGCCGCGGCGTGACATGCAATGACACAAAATGTGCAGGTCTGGAAAGCGAGTAGTCAGTTGTTGGAGTCAATAGATGGTTGACTGAAACGAGGGATAACCCGGTCAACTGAGTGGAGAGACTTCCTAGAAACAAGTTTTCGGTACAGTATATTGTACAACGCCCAATCTTCCTTTATAAGCTTAAGTGCGTATTGCGGAAGCCAAAGTTGGGTGCTGTCTGGGTCGCCTGCAGGCTCAGGTTTCGGGTGATCACTTGTGTTTCATTACTAAGAAAGATTTTATTGATCAACAGGACTAATTGTTCATAAAAAAGCAAGACCGCTCGGTTAGTTAGTATATATTCACGTGGGGTAGGTAGAGAGTTGTATAAAGAATGGGATAGGGTGTCTTAAGGTAGGACAGTATAAGGGCTGAGTTGATGTGGGTCTCGTGGTGGTTGATCTGTAGATTTCCATAATTTATTATCGGTATCATAGATGACATAGATTTGCCTTAAGCGATAGGAGCAAATCAGGGAGGCTTGGCTCGAAGGGCGTGATTGTAATAGTTGGTGAATCCCCCTCCTCCCATTGTGTTTTATCCTATCATACATAATAAGCTATGGATTTAGAGAGCCTTAGGGAAACGCACCAACCCCAACACTTGTTCTCCATCAAACCCTAAGTCCCTACTAGCTTTACGGAATTTATGACTGCATTAAGGGAGAGCTGTCGTATGGGGATGTTGCTCTTGTTCTCCTATTCGGGGCAGCTATTCGCGGGTATCCCTGGGTTGCCCAGGCATCTGGCGGCATTGACTTGGATTGCTGCGAGATTCAACCCGGCAGCTGCCTAGGCACCTCCGAGCTTAGGCGGTGCTAGTGATTTCGACCGAACTGACCCGGGATTTTCAAACCATAGCCGGGCTGCTGACCCGGAGTCTGGGCTGGCCTCTTGGAATCACTGAACTGTTCTCTGCCTGGTAGAATCAATTGTCGATGTTTGACACGATATATATAAGAAAAATGCCCAGTTGTTATAACGGTGTAAGATGAAGAAAGCGTGGTCCCTACCGTATTGTAGGTTGCTAGCTAGCAGCTACAAATACAGTTTAATTGAAAGCCCCTACAAGCATCATATAAACCTAGAGCTTAATTTATGCCCTGTAGCTCCCTTGTACTGTACATATTTATACTTCAGTGCTTTCCATTCAGCCTGGTACGAGAAACTACCATACGAAAAAATCCGTAAAAGAATCCCAAAGTCATTTGTTCTAGTTACTTTTGCGTCAGCTCGGGCTATCCAGAACTGGACCCGTGTTTTCATATCAGCGATTTGGAGGGTCCCAAGTGGCCGTATGACTATGTATCCCCTTATTGCAAAATTCCCTCCGGCTGGCGGTTGGGAGAACTTGCTCTTCTAAACCCCAATTGAAATGGCATTATTACCTTAATCACCGCACTACTAAATATATTTGCTTCCGGTACTACAGCATGTTTTTGGTCTGGCTTGAATCGGTATGTTCCGAACAGTGCCAAAGCCATAGTGTAAATACAGTCCCACAGAATTTGAGGAATGTGGTATCGAGAAAGACAGCTTTTTTTTTTTACAGTTGCGCACCAAACAGGGTCTTAATTTTTATTTTGTCCATTCTTCATTCTATTGGCCTGCACGGTACTCCATCTGGCAATTACGTTCCTTACATGTTGACTTCCTAGGGACCCGCTACCACAACCAAGAGCGCTTTAGGCTAAAGAACGTTTCCTACAGGATTGCTTGTTGCTACCACGGCACAAATCGGAAGCAAGACGAGTGATATTCTCTGACGCCTATCCCACTGCGAACGCATCAGGCGGGCCACGCCGGGTAACAAGTCCCCAATGCGGGGATGGGCCAAGTCAATCCGCATCTCACCCGGACTCGAGCGGAGTGAGCCCCCACCCGCCTAACCATCAATAGTCTAACGTACTGCAAGTACTACCAAACCACGAACAAAAATAAGGACACAAGACCGCCTCAATGTCCGCGGACAGAGAAGACCCAGTCCAAGTGCTAATCCTCGGCGCTGGTTGGACCTCCACATTCCTGATCCCCCTCCTCGAGGACAACAAAATCACGTACGCCGCCACGACCCGCAAAGGCGATGACAACTCCATACCCTTCGAATTCGACCCGCAGTCCGACGACCCGACGCCGTTCCTGCCCCTGCCGTCGGCAAAGACCGTGCTGATAGCCTTCCCGATCAAGGGCACCGGCGGGTCGAAGTTGCTCGTGACGCTCTACATGCGCACGCACCAGCACGTAAAGACGAACTTCATCCTATTAGGCACCACGGGGATCTGGCCGGACAAGGGCCTTCATGACCGCTTCACCATCCCGTTCCCCGACAATCCGAGGAAGATTGCCGAGGACGAACTGCTCTCTCTCGGCGGGGCCGTGCTGAATCTCGCCGGACTGTGGGGCGGCAGCCGCGACCCGAGGAATTGGGTCGGCCGCGTGGCGCCGGATAAGGAGGCGCTCGCGGGTAAGGGCTCGCTCCACTTGATTCACGGTTGGGACGTTGCGAGGTCGATTATCGCCGTTCATAAAGCTTTCACTCCCGGGGAGAGATGGCTCATCACGGATCTGAGAATTTACGACTGGTGGGATCTGGCGAGCGCTTGGGACGAGGGTGGCCTGCTGGCCGTGCCCAAGGTGGAGACGACGGATGGGAAGCAGGCGGAGTGGGTTCAGGAGCTCATGGTTGAGAAGGGGATCAAGTCCTTGCCGAGACCGCCGGAGCAGTTGAAGAGGGGGTTGAACAGTTTGCACTTTTGGAAGCATTTCGGGATTATGCCCTCTAGGTCTCTGGTCTCTGGGTCTTAGACCTATGGGTGAGTAGGGTTTTCCTCGGTGTTGTCGTGCTCTTTCAGTTTCCATGTTTGCTCTTGGAAACAGGTGGAATATAGGGATTTCGGTCACTCATGGATACTCTACTTTACACATTCTCATTAGCTTTGCTCCCATATAAGCCACCATCATTCTCAAACTTCCAAGCAAGATTTCCTCAGGAAAATTATAGTTCATTCTCCCTACAGTACTAAGTGAAAACGTTTTGTCCGATACCCTTTTCACACCAAAAAGTATAATACCAACCTTCACCACCCTCTCTCACAGCACAATGCCCATGAATCTGCCAAAAATTGGCATTTCACTAGCGGACACAATCGTAACCACTCCCAGAGCATCAAACGCACGGAAATCATCCAGCCGACGCAAAGACTTGAAAAGAAAAGCATTTCCAAGATGCCAGCGCCGGGGTACGTCTGTCGCAAAAAAAAACCCAACGTTTCACGAAAACGTTTCGACGCGGTACCACACCGGTATGATAGATAACTGTAAAAAAACTCATGCACGATAAATCACTCGTAGCTTATGTAACTCGCACAGTTATAAAACCTCAACACCCGGCCGGTCAGAATGCATAACTCCCCGGTCGGTGAACTAGATTCTATGGGACCTATTCCAATGTCAGCGGTGTGAATGTTAGTTCGGAGGGAGGGGGAAATCCGGCTATTTCTCGATTTATAGGAATAATATGAAATACCTGCGTAGGCGCGAATACGTATACTTGAAATGCGTCTTCCTGTCCACGCACACTCTAGCACCTCATGTGTATGTACACTATTGTAAAGGGGGGGTATGTTATGCTGTGCTCTTTCGCTATTTCTTTGAGTCCAAAAAGCCAGCGTATCATATCATACATACATCCGCTAAGGTCCCATGGGAAACCTATGACTTTGCCGTCTCCTCCCTCCTCTGTTGAAAATATGCAAAAGTGGATATATCAGGTGGGAAGAAAAGAAGGAGAGGGCTCTCCCTCTCTCTCCCACCGAGGAGGAAATGAAAAGACAAGTCTATCATACATAACCCACTAAGTTGACACAAACGAGCGAGCTAATTGTAGTCACCTCCACCGGTAAAAGGGTACTGTATTTTAAATCAGTTCGCCGTGCAGTGCCATGAGTCTACCGTACCGCCATTGGGTGATACCGGTACACGGGTTGCCAATCGAGTTCACGAACAGAGTAGCGAGGAACCCCCCCCCCTCCGAGATGATAATAATAATTAAAGTATATAGGTAGCATATCTCGCTCAAATCCCTTCATACACTTTTCTCAAAAGTTTTTCGTAATTTTCCACACTATACCTCCGGACCTGCGATAGATTCGCCCCCTTCTTTTGGCGCTTTGATTTCTTTAAAGAACCTTAACCCATATATAGATTGCCTTTCTATAATTTCTGGGCTAGGCCGGCACCTCTTCGCCCAGGACATTCTTTTAAGAGTTTTGTCCTTCTCCTTTTCTCACTCGGCGGATGGCATACGTCAATTCTGGAAAGCGGGCAGCGGGTATCCATATCAAGGTGAAGGAGTATGTACAGAAGGAGAAAGTGGCCCAGTTGCAGCACGCAGCGAACGAGCGGTTAATGGCGCTGAACGACAAGTTGGTGAAGCCGTGGTTCTGCTGCGGGAGGAATAGACATCGGAATAAGCTGTACACAAACTTGGAGAAGACCTCCTCGTTGAGTAAGAATAAATCTTTTCAAGGAGCGATTGGGCGAGGGCTGATGGGTTCAAGTAGAGATTTCCAACCCTATGACGGTGGAAGTGAACGGTACGAGGGCGGACATAAGTGAGCGAATGTCGAGAGCGATAAGCGTTCAGGAATTACCGGCCACGCCTATTCCCAAACGCCTCGATGAGAGTGTCGACCCGGCGTTACTAGCTCTAGCACTAGACCTTCGAGGTTCGAAGGGCACGAAGAGACGAACATTGGACTTTATCGAATACAATGCACCGACGAACCACCGTATCACGCACATTATCGACTACTATGGGGACAACATGGCGGACGAGGAGTGCCTGAGCCGGGAGATAGAGCTTATCAGGGCAGCGGCGAGAAAGCATCCAGAGAATCAAGAGCTCTATGCTGATTCCCGAGCGACGCGCCTCGCTGATGGGAACAGGAAACCTCGGCCAGAGATGGGAGCTGCTCTAGACAGGGTTTTGGGAAACCAGGGGGGGAGGGACTCTCTATCTTGCAGCAGCGAGAGTTCGCATTACTCGGCCATGAGCAATATTATACAGCCCTTGGCTCCTAAGCCTGTTCAATCAAGGGATGGCGAGCAACCAGGGGATTTGTTGCGCGCAATGGACGAACGGAAGGAGCTGGAGCATAGACTGTTAAACATACAACGAGCTCTGTCAGAGAGGAAGATAGCTAACAGGAGGGATTCCGTCTCGCAGCACCGTGCGTTTTTCCCCCTCCCCCCAGACTTCCGACACACATACTGTACCAACTAAGGAGCAAGGGTGGTCCGAGGAAAAGGAAGGGAGACTTGATAAGTATAAACTGACTGACAGCGTTCCCGTGCAACTGAATAGTCACTGGACAGCGGATAGACGCCCTATCCCTCACAGGGCAGGAGCACGATAGACTCCACCTTCTCCCCAAGATCCCAGTGCCGTCAGCACAGATACCCAAGCGCGCACTGTCCCGTAAGTCCACGTTTCGACGCAGCAACCTTGGGCCTGGGGGCAGGGGCGGTGGCGCAGGGGCAATTGTGAGCACCCGGTTGAGCAGGTTTTCAATCGACTACAGCGACTACATCTTTGGCGAATACGGGAAACCCTCACCAGCCTCCGAGAGTTTCCTCAACTCCGCTAGGGAGGGAGGGGAGACCTCGCCGATCCTGCGGTCGATCTCCCAGAGGACTGAAAATCAGCTATACTACCTACGTCGCACCCGCTCCTTCGAGACCATCGCCCCATCCGCCGTCGCGATGCTGACGCGCACAGATACAGTCGGGTCAACTCCCGGAAAAAGGCTCGACGGATGGCTACTGAAGCAGGAAGAGTACTTTTCGCCGGAGAAAGCTGTCCCCGTATTCACTCTCCCCTCGCTTCCGGGGACTCTGGGGGCTCCTGCCATTCGGAGAACCAGAAGCGTCGAGTTCCAGAGCGGGGCAGCAGGCAGCAGCGTGAGTATCCCGCCGCAATCGCCAGGCATGAGAGTTGATAGGACGACAGCGTCCACGGCGAATCGTAAAGAGAGAAAGAAGGCGAAGAAGGCGAAGAAGGATAAGCAAGTCGTGGATCATGACGACAATTCCTCATGCGTGGGGATCCCGTACTCGTACGCTGCCATGTTGAAGAAAGAGTGCATCGGTCCAGCTCCCGCTGCTGATCATACCCCATCACTGGGTTCTGATCACCTCGGGATAGAGCTCCCACCTTTGCGGGTGCCCTCTCCATCCCTATCATCGCCAAGGGGTGCCGATCCCACCCCCCCGCCCTCGGAAGTGGTAGAGATCGCCCCGTCGTCTGGGCAGCAGCGGCGTGCCCAAGACTATGAAGCGTCCACCGGCATGATATGAGCCATTCCACCTATCCCCCCCTCCCAATAAAAACAACCCACCAACCAAAAACCATCAAAAATAAAAAGGCATTTTAGTGTTGTTTACCCCGGATTTCTTAAGTTACCCCCGGGGTTGCTTGAGGAAGCAATGTACTCGTACAAGTACTAGTACAAGTAGGGGAGCGGGGAGCAGACCGAAAGAAACTTGCAAGGTGTTAATTTCCAAACGGGTGTGGGGGGTCCGAGTCACCTGGTGGCAGCTACAGTAGAAAATCCAAAAAATCTAGTTTTTTCCCATGCGGAACTTAAAAACAAACCAACATTTTTCACTTTTATTATACAAGTACGAGTACAAGCAAGCACCGTGCCTTAAGCACAGGAGCGGCGGGGGGGCTACGATAAGAAAAAATCTTGATAGCCCACGCCACTGTTCACAGTTATATATATATATATAGAAAAGGAATCTGAAACCGGGGCCGTCAAGGACATGAATTCTTTCATTCCCATGCCGTTTCAACCCATCAGCGTACCGGTACCGGTAGTTTGGATGGAATGGAGCGAGATCTGACACCAGATTCCCCCCCCCCCCTTTCCTTGGCATGTACAGTACTGTACATGTAAACTATTATGATACATTTTGATCTTTCTTTCAAACCTACCATATTCCTTCCTTCCTTTCTTTTTCCTTGTTTGATACGAGTACATACGGCACTCGGTCGATCGGTAGGATCCCCCGTCGCTCGCGCATGATCACGTCAGGAGAAGAAAAGAAAAGAAAATAAGATTTCTCGAAGATCAATGGAATGTTACTATTTTTGTATTCATACTGTAGATATGATGTAGGAGTAGATAAGCGTGCGCATGGGCGGTAATGCGAGGAGGTGGAGTAGAAGGGAAGGAGGGAGAGAGAGAAAAAAAAGATAATCTTGGTGCGAGGTCGAGTATCATACAAGTATCGGTGGTATTGGAGAGATTACTAACATAGAGGGAGGAGGATACAGAATGTTTCGGCATTCCACTGACGACCTTCCATTCTCAAGCCGCAACCGCCGTCGAGATAAACTCCTCCTCAATCGGTTTCCAAAATGTGTGACTTTTCCTTTTCTTTTTTCCTCAATTCGCGATCGCCCTCCTGATAGCCCAGTAAGGGTAAGATCTGTCCACTCTCATACCCATACAAACCATATCATACTTGTACAGTACAGTACAGTACGAGTAAAAGATTACTCACGACCCCACCATTGTAAGCGGACCGCAGTACTATCTACCTATCTATCCACTACTAACTTTAACCTATCAGGCATTCGACATATGTTACCGGCAGACAGCGGGCACACACACACACACTGTTACACACACACGTACTCGATTCTGCAAACCTCGTAACTGTACTTTACGATACTTGCAAAAAAAACAAAAAAAAACATGTCAGCAAAAAGTAAGCCCACCAAATTCACCAGCGGATAGATGAGAGATTACTTTTTATCATGCCGGCAATGGCAGGAGAGAGAAAACTTGGATGTGGAGTTAGTTACACTTGATTTTTTCAAAAAAAAAACAAGGTTGGATAAGTTGGTAAGAGAACTGGGGAGGTTGACTATCGTGACCTATTTCCAACTGCCGGGAAGAGGGAAGTGTAGTGTACGAGTACAGTACA